CATTATCATCATCATCATTATCATCATCGTCATCATCATCGTTATCATCATCATCATCATCATTATCATCATCATCATCATCATCATCGTCATCATCATCGTTATCATCATCATCATCATCATCATCATCATCATCATCATCATCATCATCATCATCAGATCATCATCATCATCATCATCATCATCATTATCATCATCATTATCATCATCGTTATCATCATCATTATCATCATCATCATTATCATCATCATCATCGTCGTCGTCATCATCATCATCATCATCATCATCATCATCATCATCATCATCTGGCTTTACTGAAGATATTTTCTTTGAGTGGTAAGACCTTCTAGCAGACTACTGACATACCCACGAGAACTAACTGTCTCGCTTGTATGGTTTGTTCTTGTTTCAGGTTGAATTACACAACAGCTAAAACTGATCGTTTCACTTTCAGCTATGAGAACGATATCTTTAGATATCTACATGTATGTCTATATAATTATCATACTTTGTAATAGAGAACGGGACTCTTACAACGTAACATACATAGAGAATTATTAATTACAAATGTTAACTATATGTTGGGTGTGACGGGTTCCATTTCCCTATTGTGAATTTTCCATTACTATTTAGTAACCATCCTAAACCCTCGGTTGGTCGCATGTTAATTCGACATCCACGACACAGGCTGACAGTGGAGAAAAGCACGGAGACTCAGGTTGATGAAGATTATGGGGACATTTTTGTGACCGTCATAAACCTCCAAACATCGTGTTGGTTAGGAGAGCAATAGTTACCCCTCTTTTGCTGTCACGTATAACCTGTATAATACATATATTTCGCCGGCAGCAGCATGCAATATCGTGCATATCGATCAGGTTGTACATCAATTATGTGGTTTGAACTGAAATATACTTCAATTGATTTTCAGTACATGTACAGAAAGACGTCTAATTTCGTCATGCCTATTCACTCTGTGGAAATGTTTGTGCGCTATATAGAAAACATTTCTCGACATCAAGGGTACTTAATTTCAGACATATTTAAACATCTTTGATTTTTATTCTTTGAATCGTCAAAGTGATACCCGTCCTATAGGCATACCTTTGTTGTTTGTGCTCGGCTCCTCCTGGTTAAAAGTAGGATTATATCTATATCTATAATTCAATGGGGCATCCGTGGTTCTTGTGACTCCCGTTCTGGAGGTATCCCTGGTTCTTGTGACTCCCGTTCTGGAGGTATCCCTGGTTCTTGTGACTCCCGTTATGGAGGTATCCCTGGTTCTTGTGACTCCCGTTATGGAGGTATCCCTGGTTCTTGTGACTCCCGTTCTGGAGGTATCCCTGGTTCTTGTGACTCCCGTTCTGGAGGTATCCCTGGTTCTTGTGACTCCCGTTCTGGAGGTATCCCTGGTTCTTGTGACTCCCGTTCTGGAGGTATCCCTGGTTCTTGTGACTCCCGTTATGGAGGCATCCGTGGTTCTTGTGACTCCCGTTCTGGAGGTATCCCTGGTTCTTGTGACTCCCGTTCTGGAGGTATCCCTGGTTCTTGTGACTCCCGTTCTGGAGGTATCCCTGGTTCTTGTGACTCCCGTTATGGAGGTATCCCTGGTTCTTGTGACTCCCGTTCTGGAGGCATCCGTGGTTCTTGTGACTCCCGTTCTGGGGGTACCCTTGGTTCTTTATGTCTTCTCTTGAGGACCGATTATTGTACAGTTTTAAATGTTATTTTCGCCAATGATTTGTAAGATATACAGAAGATGGAAATTAAAACATTATAATTTAAGATTGATACAATAAATATTTTGTTTAGGCAAGCAGACTATAAAATTTATTTTTCATTATCATCGGCGAAGAAATCAGAAATTAACAAAGATGAATATAACATTCATTATCATATTATTATACACTAAATAACGAGACGTCAAAAGCATATTAACTCAAACAATACGAAATGCTGGGGTTGCTGAATGTTGAATCCAGAAATGGAAAATTCACAAAAGAGAAATTGAAAATATTCAAGTTGTCATACAGCTTGTTGGAAAGCTGTTTCCATTTCATTGTAGGAATAGATCGAGGTAAGCGGCTGATGTAGAAGAGTCTGTCATGTCCTTGATTTCCGATTCTGATGAGTATATGCAATAATCATTGTTAATATACAAGACGTCGTCAATAAATCTTAAAGTGAAATTGAAGGACTTCGAACAAGAGCAATTCCTAGATATTGGAAAACCTGTAAAAGATGTCATTCTTCCATAAGATAGATTTGTTTATACTTTTTTCTCTGTACACGTTTTTCAGACAGTCAAGGTCTTGCTTGCGTAATTCTAGAATTAAATTACGAAGAGATTGTGGGGTGTGAAAAATTTTAAGAATCATATAAAAACTGTCTATCAATTGCGTTCTCTTCAATTGAAAGAAGTCTTTATGTTGTCAAGATTCCAGATATATGTATTGTAATATAAACGATGGTATGATGAAGTATACACACAATGAATGATGGATGTCACGTACAAGGAAGAATGTGTATGGTGATTTCCCTGTTGTGTTGACTTGATATCAATTCCTTGCTTTTCACTTCAGATGTATCTTTTTTCATTGTGAATAAAATGGAAATATACTAATTAGTGTTTTGTGTTTTCATCAACATGTGTAAGTGTTACGCCTAGCCGTGAACCTTTCGAGCAGTGTTGAGCACAACCCCCACACAGTCGGAATGTAACAGCTTACTTTGTTTCCTCCATATATAAACTTTTCTGTCAGTACTGATTTCTTTATTTCTTCTTTAACTTCTGGAGCCAATTCATGGCTTTTGGCAGATGTCACTATAGTAGGGTAAGGAACTTTACAAAAGAAAGAAAGACCGGCTAATTATGCTTCCAATTTATAATCATTTAGATTGTTTAATTAATTATAATGCATATAAATAACGTTTTATTGATGACTCCTCTAGCTGTTTACACTAACAAACACCCAAGCTTCTTATCACCATTCTTAGTACTTATCAAATCAGCATTACAGTCGTATTGTGATACTGTTTACTTCATATGTAGAATGAATAATTATGTGTATTTTTATGAACTTTTCCTAATTTTCTAATTTTTTCATAAGAGCATTTTATTCACCATGCACCCCATCATACCCCATTCTAAACTAAAAGGATGCCTTCGTTCTCTTGTTACGAGATCTCTCTTTTCGAAGAAAGGTGAACCGCGGTACAAAAAAAAATGTAATGAATTTTGCAGATGAGTATTTCGTGAGAACGAAATCGATAAAAGATCGTGCTTTTGGTTGACAACATCTTGGTTAAGTTTGGGGGTAACATCTTCCAATAGACTATTGACATCTGTTAAATTTTTAGAATTAAAAAAAAAAAACTCATTTCCAGTCTCATCAAATTTTGATAGAATTAAATCAAACAGATTTCATTACATGTTCCGATAAGTTAACGCAAAGTATGGCTGACAAGAATTTATTTGACGATAACACAAGGGAGGCAACTCATGCACATTACTTTATTCTTACGCTGAAAGTAAAAGGATTGATAACAGTTTTATTTTAAGATTATACATCTAATACGATCTCGACATCTACTAACATTTTTTCTGCTTATGATCCTATATTGGTTCTTGATTGAATAACACTCCAATTATCATGACTATAGTTTTTTCACTAGGAGTTAACACGAGCGCTACGGTTTCGTTGTTTCATTGCATTCATGAAAGACGGAGGAAAAACACAGAATATTTAATAGTGTCTTCAATAATAATAAGTATATTTCACAAGTATCCACGAGTGAAAATTACAAAAATATTGGACACACATGTATTTGTTGCTACTGAAGGCGCTATTAAATATTCTATCTATTACATTTTCACAGACAAACAAAAAGGCCAAATTACTGGCATATTTAGTTGTGTTACTAGTAAACAACTCCTTCATGTTTCTGGTTCTGTGATTTTCATGTACCAAGCCTTGTAGCGTGCCAAGTTGTTACAAATGCTATTGTAATACATTGACACATAGTTTCCAGTCAAGTACATTCCAAATTGTTAAAGAAAGATAGTTGTAAGAAATTGACATGCAATTGACATGCAATATATCGTTTAATATGTCAAACGTAGTTCCAAAACTAGTTTCTAAATGAGATATTTCTCTATATCACACTGGCAAAAATGTAATAAATACGCATTAGCGTTGTAAGTAAATTTCGTTGAGTCATTTCAGCACATAAAAGTTTTTGTCCCAGTGGCTGTGTTTTTATATCTCCAAATTATTGATTATATAACGCACATGAAAGATCCCATAATTATTTTTGATACCACTTATTATACCAATATTCCATGTCTCTTTGGCATGGCAGAAAAAAAATCTATCCTTCAAATTATTATTCCTAGTTGTCAAACTAAAAACTTGCTCTATGTCAAATGAAATGCATTTCTTTCAAGTATACATTCTGTAATAAAGAACTATTGACATATAGTCTAATACATACCGATTTGTGTAACCGACACGTCCCACGTGGCCTCGTGCTCTCATGTGAAAGGACATTAAAGAGCCAAGACTCACATGCACGTTCGATTATGAATGTTGTTGGAATGTACATGTATATATGTTTGTTGGTATATCTGTGTCCTTTACTGTAAACAGAGTTTGATTTGTACAAGCGTTTTGTAAAAAAAAATCACAAAAGTATCATCAAGTCAACGTTAACAAAATTCATACTTAAATTCCATGAAACTATAGGAAAACATGAACAAAAGAAAGATGTACAAGGAGACATCTGAAAGAGTATAATGACATGAAAACCTTGGTCAATCCATAAATATATAGTTTATTCATCATAATCATTATAAAGCTTATATAAGTTAACCTTACTGTTGACGTCAAGTAAACATGTACAGTGCGGTTAGATAAAAGGTGAAATATCCCTTAAAGTATTTCTATGTTTGTGATTTACCTGCATAACTTTTAATTATTGGCAGAATTTTCCCTCAATAATCTTGGATCGAAATGCTTTAGTATTTTCACTAAAAAAAACCCGTACTATACGAATATCTTATTATTATTTTTTGATAGTGCCATAATTATATATCTTTATTTCTTATCGTTACACTTTATAAAACTGGAAATGCCAATTTTAACCACGCATTGTCGCAAGAGTTATCTCTCCTCCAATAAAATCAGGAACTATTTTCCGATTTCTACATTTAATGCTCTTTATTAAATTGGTTTTTTTCTTACTTTAAACACCATAAGTACATGACACACAGTGACATGATCATTGATGCAGCGCTTGAATTCCAGTCCATCCATCACAACTAGACAGTGCTGAAAAATGCCAGATTGTGGCGTAGCTAGGTTTGTTGACCAATCGAAATGTTTATCCGTTTTTTTTCCATCGTGTGAATAATGAAATAGGCCATTAAAATGGCCGTAGGAATTTTTCCTTTACTATTTAACTGTATAAGTTTACAAGAAATAATTAGTTAATGTCCAACTTAATACATTAATCATCCAAAATTTGGTTTCCGGAAGAATTCGTTTCAACCAAGTTATAATTCAGGACTGCTATCGATTTATCTGTCATTCTGGGGTGAGGTAATTATTGGAGATCTACGAGATGGCTCTGAAACAAAATAAAGGATATTCTCGATGATTGTACAAAAGACTGTTTTTGATTATGTTGATTATGTATTAGTAAGCGAAATGTAAGACTTTTATCATCAAACTGAATTCAAACTGATTCCGGTGATGTATGGAGACGATATCTTCGACTCGTCTCTGTGACAAGTTTAAGTAATATGTGAATATATGTAAGCAACCAGGGTGTTGACATAAACAAATAACGATAGTCAGGGCAACATGTGTGAGACATCTTCAATATGTAAAAGGCGTACTTACCTGATATAAGTCCTTCCGTGGATCTCTCACTGGTGTCCACGTTAGGATCGCTACAAAAGGCGATAAGTAAACCAAATGTATCAATGATTCAGCTTTTAGTACATTCATGCGGATGTCATACAAGCTTCTCGTTCAAACTTATTATATGATAAATTTATGTTAATTGATGATTATCTACTATTACTTTCAAAAAATGGTTTAAATGAACAATCTATAAATTGAGTGTTTATACATTTCCCGGTGGCATTATGCATACAACCTGACTGAGAGAAAGGGCCAACTTTTACAAACTGCTGAAGTTTACAGTCTTTAATAGTGTATTGACGTTTTGGCAATGAATGTCGTTTTCTTATTATCACAGATTACTCATGATTCAGCCTGTTTGTTTAAAGAAGAAATACTACCTTCCTAAACCGCTTTCCTCAAGTGGCTGTTGCATTTCTCTCCCGGCACAACATTTTTTCTTTGTTTTGACCATCCATGACACCAAGAGAAGCATCGATATCACTAAGGCAATACACAGAATAAGGAGGAAGTATACACTCCAGGCGGGAAAACCGTCTAACAAAAAACCAAAACGGACACTCAGATCAAAATAACAAGCTAACAAGCGATCACAATGTGTTTTGACAACACACATGATATTGTAAAAGCAGAAATAACTTCATTGAAAACTGAAGATTTTCAAAGATATTTGTGAAAATGCAAACTACACGTGTCCATCAAAGAACTAAATAGGTATTAATGTGTTTCATTATCATCCATGTTGTAATCATAATGCTTCTTACCTGTTGAATAATTCTGTAGTTTCTGCATTACTACAAAAAAGACAATGTGAGAATACACACGTCAATGTACATAAACATGTAGGAAGACTACTAACACTGAGTTTCTATCACTGAGTATTCTGTAGGAAGTGTCCATATACATATAATAATGATTATTATTATCAATAATATTTATACATTATAAGAGTAATGATTATTATCATCAATCATATTTATACATTATAATAATTATTATTTTGTTTTGAGGACTTAATGATTTTCCCCATTTATATCATAAACGTTTAATACATAAAAGCCAAGATTTCCGTTCGCGACTATAAAGAATGTCCATATGATGATCTTTGATTTACATTTACAAAGTGTAGATTTAAGGAAAATTTGATAAATTATTAACTCATTGAGAGGATGTAAATATTCTCCCCTAGAGACTTATACGCATGCAATGCTGTCATACTAATAAACAGTTCTTATGTCAGCTATTATATATCTCAAATCGATAGGTAACTTGGGAAAAAAATGGGTATTTGAATGAATTGACAAGTACCATTATCACATTTGAAGAAGCATTGTGGTGGTCTTTCGCCGGGGGCATTCGATAAGGCGCATAGGTCTTTATTGCAAAATTCACAACGACCATCTAATGTGCAATATTCCTCCAAAATATTGCAGGTTTCTGTTCCACATTTCACCCTGATTTCTTTAGGCAGTTCCTCTGTACCAGTTACCCAAATTCCGAAAAGGAGTGAAATTGCAATATAAACTGCTCGATATCCCTGAAATGCATAATATATAGATATTAGATTGTATATATGTTTATTTACATATTAGCTTCAGGGCCCGTATTCATGAAACCATTCTCATGCTCAAGCATAGATTTGTGCTCAAGTAAACTTTTTCATAATTCACCTAAATAATATAAAATAATACAAATGTCAAATCTAAACATTAAATATAGCTTTGACTTGAAGTCCTTTCAAAATTATTTAAAATCTTTGGCAAAATCAGTCTTACTTATTAATTTTTAACTTGAACAATACATAAAGCTTGAGCACAAAATTCATGCTTTAGCATGAGAATGGTTTAATGAATACGGGCCCTGGTCTCTTTGCTAGTCAGAAAATAACTAAACGACAGTGTTTAGATTTGGAAAAAATGAATCGTTTGTCAGACAAATGACGAGAAGGGGAGTTTTTATGTCGTATGTAATTGGTTACGCTTTATAGCATTTCTGGTTACAGATGCACAGAAGTCAATGGTCTACCTCATTTTGTCAGTTGTAAGACAAAGTGTTTACATCGTGCTGATTATCAAGACGTCTGATTTTCAATGGTTGTGTTTTAACGAATTGGTTACTTCATATTTTGACAACTATAAGTTGGAAAACGTATCGATTATAAGATGTCAGATTTCAGTCGTTACAATTCATTCGACTAACTTTTACTCCAGAACCTTGATATGTTTCCTTGGGGAATCTTTAAAAGTTAAAATGTAAAATTGACTGCACAGTGAGTTTTAGTATTTGAGAATTTGTTTTCGTTGTATCCCTCACCACAACTCTTGGATTTTGATATCTATATCATATCGTTTTGCAGACATAAGACCTGCTTTGTTCAAGGTTGTACAAAAGACACACAAGTGAATAGCACTTTTTCATAAATTAGAGTGAGATACAATAGAGTTAACCCATGAACTAAGCTGCAGCATACAGCTGTTTCGTCCTTAGGACTCCTCAGTGATTATACAATTTTGAAGTCTAGGAGGCACCTAAAAAAATACAAGTTGATCAAAAAAAAAACTCTGCTAAATATTATCTATGAAATCGCTTCAGGTTGTATAGCTTATAGGATCAGGACAGTTCTTGATCAGATAATATGCGAGGATCAAACTGGCTTTATTTTAGGACGCTATATTGGGGAGAATATCAGACTTGTTTATGATATCATGCAATTTGCAGAGGATAGAAACTTGCCTGGAATGCTTTTAATGTTAGATTTTGAGAAAGCTTTTGACTCTGTCTCATGGAAATATGTTGATAGGGTATTTACATTTATTTATTTACATCCTGAGATTCGAAAATGGGTTAAGGTATTACATACTAATGTCTCAGCTACTGTAAACCAGTGGGAGGTGGGGGGGGGTAATCTGTCATCCTTTCTTGCTATCAAAAGAGGCTGTCGTCAAGGCGATCCGATAGCGCCATATATCTTTATTCTCTGTGTAGAAATACTTAAGATTTAGAAACAATGATAGAATTAAGGGTATGGATGTTAAAAAATTCCCAGTTCTTATTACACAATATGCTGATGACACTACTCTTATATTAGACGGCTCAGAAATTTCCTTAAAAGAATCTGTTGTTGAATTGAAGAAGTTTGCAAAAATATCTGGTTTGAAACTTAATGTTGACAACACCCAAGTTATTTGGATTGGGAGTGAAATCTATAGTAACAATACTTTTTTACCTGAATTAAAATTACAGTGGGGGCAAAGTAAATTTACTCTACTAGGAAATGATTTTAGTGTCAATCTGCATGAGATTCCAAAATTAAACTTTGATAAAAAATTGATTAAACTTAAAACACTTATTAAAACTTGGAGTAAAAGATGTCTTACGCCTTTAAGAAAAATAGTTCTGATCAAGTCTCTCCTCATTTCACAACTTAATCATTTATTTATATCTATACCAAACCCGAGTGAACATATATTGCAACATATTAACTCCATTCTCTTCCAATTTATATGGAAAAGTAATATAGATAAAATAAAATGAGATATAATAACTCAAAATTATTATGACGGGGGGCTCAAAATGGTTAATATTAGGATATTTATTGATTCCCTGAAATTAAGTTGGATAAGAAGACTGTTACATATGTCATCAAAGTGGACATCAATTTTCAAATCATTATTTGACTTTAATAAAATGTTAGTATGTGGAAGTGGGTGCATTCAAGATTGTCTAAATAACTGTAAAAATAATTTTTGGAAAGATGTGTTTAAAGCTTGGCTAAGGCTAAATGATTCTGACAGGGTTAAGAAAATGCAAGAAAAGTTCTTTTTAAAAATGCCACTGTGGTATAATAACAATTTCACTATAGGAAAAAAGCCAGTATTTTACAAAGAGTGGTATAACAAAGGTGTAACAATCGTTAATGATTTGGTAAAAGATCAAAATACTTTGTCTTTCTACGCTTTTGGAGAATTTACTGAGATGTACAGAGTTAGAACTAATTTTCTTGAATATCAAGGGATAATTTCGGCCATTACAGCTTACTTACAGAAATCTAATAGTGACTTTGATAAACAAGTAATAATTTATCCATTAGTTCCAATTAATATTGCAGTTTTTATGAATAGGACAAAAGGCTGCAAGGACCTGTATAATTTAATGATTAGTAGATGTGTTACTTCTACCAGCAAAAAAAAAAAAAAAAAAAATGGGAAAAAAATATTTGAAGGTAATGATTTGAATTGGGGCAACACTTATATAACACCTTTTAAAGTTACAACAAACACTAAATTGCAATGGTTTCAATACAGAATAGTACAAAATATTTTAACAACTAATTCTTTCCTGTTCAAATTTGGTGCTACAAACACTCCAATGTGTAATTTATGTAACATGGAAAGGGAAACAATTACTCATATTTTATGGGAGTGTCATGAAACACAGAGTCTACTGCAAAGTTTGGAAACCCTGTTTGATGCTCTCCTTATCCCTGTTTCATTTAATAAACAAAGTTTTATTTTTGGTATCTCTATACGCAATAGAATGGATATAATAAACAAGGTAGACAATGTAATTTTGATTATAATTAAATTTTATATATACAAAACAAGATGCCTGCACAGAGCCTTAAATCTAACAGCTGTAATTGGGTCAATCAGGGAATATTATATATGTCAAAAAAGCATCGGTACTCATGAAGATGAACATTCTAAACAGAAAGTTTTGGACGAATGGAAAAATGACAAAAACTGATAGCATTTTCAGATTTATAGATCTACATGTATTACCTTAAATTAATTGTATCCCTCGAGACATGGATTCTTTCTATCGCAGATCACAAATACTACCAGCCCAGCAAACAACTCTCTCTCTCTCTCTCTCTCTCTCTCTCTCTCTCTCTCTCTCTCTCTCTCTCTCTCTCTCTCTCTCTCTCTCTCTCTCTCTCTCTCTCTCTCTCTCTCTCTCTCTCTCTCTCTCTCTCTCTAAGGATGTGTGTGTGTGTGTGTGTGTAAAATGTTTATGGAAAAGAATCAAGTTTATATATATGTTATTTGTAAAGAATGAATCTTATATTATCTAAAAGTTACATGAAAATGATTATATGGTGATGATATGTATTAGGAGTGTAACAATTGTAGAGCAGTGAAAATAATGTTTGTGCAACAATTATATATGTGTGAAGGATTGTATAGTAATTGTATAAGTATGAAATGAAGATTGTATGAGTGTATGATGAATGTTAAATTGTGATTCAGTGGTGACCAGATTACAAGGGTGATGATGTGGAGTGTGTAAGGATGTTCATTTATGTTGTTTGATGTCTTTAGTATTTATATATTTGAAAAACATGTAAAAAAGGGGGTGGGGGGTGGGAATCAAATTCAGGACGGATAAACTCGTAATTTTCATACATTAGATAATTTTAGAAAAACGTATAGTACACGTGCATTTTTTGAACCGTGCCACTATTCGACTGAATTAAAACGTGGCAAGCTGGTAACGGTAAACCTC